TCAGGGGGATTGACTTTTCAATGATGCATTTAAACAACTCTGTTTTATAATGGCATAAAAGCAACTTTATAGGATTTTTGAAATACAATAAAGAAACTAAACACTTTCTAGCGCTCAATAAACGTTTGTAATAATTAAATTCAGAATAACGGGCTGATATTGGCAGATATGTAGAGCTTCTTTAAATTGGTCTGCTGTTCGATACACATACAGTCATTAACCATTCTGGTTCATTTTTAGAGGCATTTACATCAAAGCCCAACATCAGTCAGTTTTATCCAATCACAAAGCAGCTTCGATGTGTTTGGTGGCATTGCTCATTTCCAAGACCAGAACAGCTCCAGGTTTAAACATTATGATGCTGTTGAGATGCTATTTGAAACATTTGCAGATGTCTAACTTTCCTTCTATTAAATCAACAACATTCTTTGATGCACTATTACTGGTGAAGTTTGAAAGCCTCACCATGATACCTTGAAATGTAGTTTGTGTCGTTGTGGTGAAGAACTTTTTTTGCCTCTTTTCTCATTCTGGCCTGTTGCTCAGTCATCAAGCTAATTTTTAGGTCTGGATTTTTGGCTAATGTCTTTATTTTTTTTTCCCTAGAAGTTTATCATGTTAATTTTAAACATCATAAACCTTTGTGCTCCATTTGTTGGTCCTAAAAACACCGACCAATTTGACGGGTCAGATTTGGACCCTGCTGACAGATAAGGTCCCACTCCCCCCCAAACAGCAGACATCCTCTGGACCCATGTTGGTCCTTTTCAACCAAATGTAGACGTCTTTGGTAAATGCTATTTCTGTTTGGTGGGATTTAGACAGAGTCCTCCATGGAGGACAACATTTCGTGTCTTATTTACACATCAAAACTGGATATTGAGCAACTAATCAGGATAAGCTTCTGGAATTGTTCCTATCTAACCCTTAATCCACAGTCTAAATGTCTACAGTCTACAAGATGCTTCGTGTCATGAAACCAACCAGTTTAATTGAACTCTTCTGTTTTATGTCCAGGGAAATTGGGCAATCATTGTGCCATATTTTATAGAAAAATGTGCAGTTTATCTGCCTTTTACTAGGAAATATCTATCAAACTCCTATTAGGGTATATCTATTCATCTGAGTTTATTGTAGAACTTAAATCTACATTCAGGAAAAGTTAACATGTCATTCAAACCCATGATGTGTCTGTAAACCTCTTACTGGTGATTCACACACATTAGCTTTAGCTGCAGTTGTGCTAAAACTCCACAGAAAGAGCTCACATCCCATTTAGTTGGACCATAATTAGTCGGCTTTTCATTTCAGACTGAGACAGACTGAAAAGCAGGAAGAGGCGTGCAGAGGTAGAGTTATGGTAAAAGAGAATGCTAAATGATAGACTGCGTGTGCTCTGGGCAGACCCCCAGGTTACCGGTGTGAGGCAGTTACAGCTGGCTCGCTCATTCCGTGGAGATCTCATAATAAACATCACATGGGTAGTTTGGGCTGGCGGCTGCAGATTAAGCCAGAGCTGTTAGCTCTTTAAAGACTGCTCAATGTTGCAGCCGGCCAACAATCTATTTATAGGGTGACTGGAAGTGTATCAAAGCAGGTAGGCTGGGGGAAGCACCGGACAGGGACACTTTCTAGCTGATTTATGCCCTTCAATCAGCCTAATAACAATAAACTGTCAACTAACACTCTGCTTTTATTTGTAATTTATGATATGGTGCTCCTAATAAACCTGTGTTTATTTCTCCCCTGTCACCCCCCCCACTCCTTCCTCCTCCTCTCTTTTTTTCTTGGTGTCTCCTTGCAGAGCTGCCCAGTAGTCCAGGTGGCCAGTTTACGTTCCGTCCGCTCCCCCCACCGCCGCCGCCTCCCCACGCCTCCTGCACTTGTGCCCGCCCAGCTCCCTACACCCAAGTCAGCCTGCAGAGGAAGACCATGCCAACGCGGTGCCAGAGCAGTCAGGGTGGCCAGGGGGCAGACAACAGCTCGGGCACAGACCAGGCGCAGCTTCACAACAGCTGGGTGCTGAACAGCAACATTCCCTTAGAGACCAGGTAACAGAACGCAGCGAATGCAGAGGACGGTCGTTTAAACGCCGCACAAGCACACCATGAAAAGGAGTAAAAGCTCTGATGAGGATAAAACGATGAAGAATGAGGCTGAATGAGTCAAATACTGCTGGATTCATTAGGATCTCTGACTAAACGCTGGGGCGCATAGACCTTTTTTTCAGAATGTGAAAGCAGACCTCTTTACTTGAGTCTTCAAATAATCCTGAGGTCTGTTCCTCTGAGGTGTTTCACAGCGACTCAGGTGAATTAAATCCAGCCAGGTTGTTCAGAGCATGTGAAGAAGATGTTAATCTCTGCTGTCAGGCTTCAGATTATTGAGGTGACGGATTTCCAGAGAAACAAACCCTCAATAAAAATTAACCCTTCAATCCCAATAATCCCACTGAAACAGAGACGTTACTGAGCTGCAGCTCTATCAAACTATCGGCTACTTTAAATAAACGTGTCTTTCTCTTAATTCGATTATTAAAGATCAGTTTTGATTTATGGTGAAGAGAATTTATTAAGCATCACAACCTTTAAACCACTTCCTGAAGGAAATTAGTTTTTTTTATCTTTATATATATGCTGATAAGAAAAGAAAAATAAACACTTAACAATCAGTTTTCATCAGTGTCCAATAAGTCTTGATAACTTCATATGTTATAAAATAATTACTACTAAGCAGAAAATCCCAAATGAGAAAATTAAAGTCTATTTCTGATGGTCTGTAAAAAGGTTTTCTCAAATATTAAATTAAAGGTTTAAAGGTCTTTTTTACACAAGAAATCAAACTACTAAATAAAAGTTGCTTAAACTGTGTTTAATAGTTTTAACCTTCTTTTAGTCGGAGTAAAGCAGCCTTAGCCTGTAGCAACAGACGGTTTTCTGGTTAAATAACAAATGAAAAAGAAAATCAAGTTGCTTTAACCCTCATATTATTAAGTCTGATGTGAGATTGCAGTGCAGCTGAAGGTTGCTTTTATTTAAACAAAGTGAAACAACCAACGCTTGAAATGGACAAAAACACCATTGTAAGGAGAGGCTCTTTACTCAGATAAGTGTTTGTTGAGACTAAATAACATAATTAAGCTAAAATGAGCGGTAAGGATGAGAGTCTTTGAAAGAAAAAGGTTGAACTCCAGGGTTCAGTTGGAGCCAAAACATGGTGTAATATTTTTATCCGTCAGTTTTCTTTATTTAACAAAGACTTTATTCACATTTCTGGTTTAGTTTCGTTTTTAATGATTTAACAGCAGCAGGACAGTGAAGAATAGATGAAATAAGTCTTATTAAATATGTTTTACAGGATAGCATGTGAGTTAGTCATTTAACCGACAATAAATCTGTTAAACCAAAGCATATTCCAGCTTAAGGGTTATAAAAGACAATATCTACAATACTTGTTAAAGTTATTAACATAAAAACTCTGGTTCTAAGCAGCAATTAGAAAGTTTTTCATTAAATAACCTTTTATTTAAATCTGCTTTCTTTTTGTCCTGCTAATTTATGGTGATCTGTGGTCCGAGGCTGAAGTTACCAACAGGTTCATTGGTGGTTCACAACATTTTTTCTTCTACAGTTATAATCAAAATAAGTCGAGCTTTAAAGTCTCACAGCAATCAATACGTTCCATAAAAATAAACTTGACAAATAATTGACTGGTGGTTGTGGGGTAAATGAAAACCATCAGACGATCCGACTGTCGTGCACGCTGTAATTGGCTCATTTTGTTTTCAGATTATAACATTCGATTCAGAGAGGTCATTTAATCTGTGAAAAACAAACCGCTGGACCTTTCTAAAGTGAGAAAGAAGCAGCTCTCCTAGTGCTGTGATTTGGAAAAATAATGTTTTAGTGTGCCTGTATAGAAATAAAACCCGTTCATAATAAAATCCACATTCTGTTCATTTAATTGCAAACCGCAATTATTTTGAACCCAACTGGATTATAATGGATTCATTGTCATTTTTCTTTTTATACAGGAAATATATGAATTATTTATCCCCCCCTAAACCAGTATTTTGCTTAATTTAGAAAGGTCCAAGCATTAATTAGGAGGGTGAAAACCCTCCTCCAACCTGTAATTAGCAACACAAATGACAGTGGCGCGGTATTTTTTTGATATTTCCTTGTTGCTTTGCACACCATCAAAGTCAGAGCAAATCTCCAGTTTTTTCAAGGATTCCAATTGTTTCTCCCACTGCTGCTGTCGCTGTATTATTCATGACACCTGCATCGGCTTTAAATATTCTAAAAGCAGAACTTCAGAGTCGTGCAGAAGGAATTTCGTCCCATCAAACAGAATTGAGACCGCGTAAGAAATAATTGATCCCAGGAATTATTTTGGAGATCCTCCATCCTTAGAGGCTGCTTTGCAGAGGAGGAAGCAGCAAAGGTGCAAAAGAATACGTTTGCATGTTAAATGAGGGCTTGGCCGTCGCAGCTGAATTCTGCAGTCATGAGTACGGGGCCAGATTGGCAGTCTGCCACGCCAGAAGAAGAAGTTTTAATAAGTTATGCATTAGGCCATAATTAGATCACACCTCATTTAAAGGAAAGGAAGAATAAAATTAGATTATGTGACCATTTAAATTAATCATTGTCCAGACGTGTGTTTCAAAGAGGACAGCTTGTCATGGCTGTAGTGTAATTACCGTACTTCCATGCGTGTTTCCATGTGTGTGTTTGCTTTCAATTAAATTAGGTCTTAAACCGGATTCATACCTTGTTGCCGTGTAGTTTTGATTTTTCAAACAATATTTTTAGCAGAAAAATTTAAGATGTGCAGATAAGATGTGATTCCTTGGTTTCAGCGCTGCCTCTGCTTATTGGATGCTGCCTTTTTCTAGCAATACTTTTCCTGCATTTCAGACTTTATAGTCATATAAGTTTCACATGAAAGTGTGCTATTAGTTCTAACCCATAAAATGTAATCCCATTCATAGTCAATAGAATAGTGTCCCTTCATAACATAATTCAGACATTATTGGCTCTCTCCTATCAGCCTTTTGACAAAGTCTTTCCTGCTTAACTGTTTCTGGCTGGGTTTAATATTCCAGCCCCCCCGCTCTCTCTCCCATCTCCGTTCTCCGCAGCCTTTTATATTCTCTGATACTCTGATAATCTAATGATTTCATATCTCCACTGCAGCCTGACTCTTATCAGCTCAATCTGAGCCACAGGATTAACCATTTGTCAGGTATTTACCAACCTGACGCAGAGGCTCACACTAACTGAATTATAAGTGACGCTGTGACCTTAATAAAGACGACGGGAAAAAATGGACAATGTCTTATGTTGTCAAGCGCACTTCCATTATCCTTGATTGGTGTTTGATAAATCTGCATTGAGAAGTATTGACGTCATGTCGGCTGAGATTAAGAATGTTTGAAGTACACATGGATTTCCTTTTTGGCTCAACATCCGTTATGATTCTGGAGAGACTGTCCTGTCTTTGTGGATGGAGCAGATATGGATATTCGATATATCCGCTCAGAGTCTCACACTGGGTGTGCTGGGAGGCATAGCGAATGTTGGCACCATTAATGATGGACTTTTGCCCTTCATCTTATTGGTAAAACTCCTTGAGTCACAATCGTTTGACTGTGGAGGTTTGGACTCCTAAGAATTAGACCTTTTACCTACGTATGCATACATATAGTATACATTACACATAGTATTAATCAGTGATGCACGATATTAAACATTTTAACCATACCAATAAATTTATATTCAATATAATCTTTGCATAATCTGGGGTTTGTGGTGGATACAGCTACTGTATGAAAAACCAATTGTTTAGTAGCTCTGCGTATCTATAACAGAAAAGAGGAGGTTTTGGCTCTTTAAATGTTTTTCTGTGTCATCACACTAAACTCTGGTCTCTTGCTTTAATTAACAGCAGAAAAAGACAATTCAGTTCAATTCAAACACAAAAAAAACATCCCTGGAAAATGAATTATTGAACCGATTTATGGTTTAACTGCAGAGGTTTTTGTGAAGTCCAGTATTGTTCAAATATATGATTCTAACAGTCACTAAGTAACAGAAAATATAATCAAAAAGAATGCATCCTCACGAATAACCACAGCAAAAGTCTGAGATAAAAGGGAGCTTTTTTTCAGAATTTGCAAAGGTATTTGCTGGAACAAAGTCAAATATTTTCTTTTTTTTGGTTTACAGCACTAGTGGCTGTTTTTTGGACAGTAGGCTGACAGGAAAGGGGGAATGAGAGACAGGGAGACATGCGGCAAACAGCCACAGATCGGATTCCAAACTGGATCGGCCGCGTCGAAGATTACATG